TGATCGTACTTTTAATGTGTTTTTCTACTAAATTAATTTATGTTTTTCACTTGAAACTTTCTGACTACTGTATACATACTGTAGTCATAGTATAACATTTTGAAAATGTCCTCTGACCCCTTTTTGTACCTGATACAAAAACTGCATTAGACTTTTTTGTAGCTCATTGCTCATATCAAGACATAGTCACGTTTAACATTTTTTGCAATGGTGCTTATTTGTCGAGAAAAATACAAATTTAATAAATAAAATAAATAGTTTATCTTTTCATTAAACATTTCTCAAAAACTAAGAAACACATAAAAACTGTAAGATTTTTTTTGCAAAAAATAAAAATATAATAATAATAATCATCTTTATTTTGCTATACCTCATAACAACTAAAACAAAACATTGTTTGGCAACAGACCTATTCTCATGGTTCATAGACCGTCTGAGAAGTTGGTTCTTAAATAAACATAGGTATTTGAATAAACTATGAATATTTAGGTAATTTGTGGAGTATAGTATAAATATTTCCACGTTTTAATATCGAAAAACATTGTATGCTTTTTACAAATTTCACAATGAATTTAGATGCTTCATTTGATTTGAAATATGAGTTAGTCGGTTGAAACTAATCAGTAACACAAAAGCTTTAGTTGCACAGGTAATCTTTAACAATATTACGGTTTACTATACGAGTGTGGCGCCGCAACAATAAAATAGATTCTGATAAATTAATGTAATCAGGAAAAAAGAGTGGTCACTACAATTTCAACCAAAAGGGCAGACAGTGCACCCCATTATGGTTTGTCATTAAACATACCACAAAAAATCAAAAATAGCTGTAAACCTTTAATACTTTATACATGAATCAAACATACAAATATATTAGAAGCTTTAAAAATTGAATGTACAAATGGCAGTGTTAATAAGTAGTTATTAAGTTACATAAAAATCTTAACAGTAATTTAGGAGCTATCACTATCGTACGAATTTGCAATAATAGGTGGGCACAGACTTTTGTCTACTAATATTCCATGTGTAACCAACAGTTGGATAACATCTTCCACGTAAAAATGATCTCCTAACTTATCGGTAAGTTTAACAAAATTAGCAATTAAAGAACCTTGTTTATAAACAAGCAACGCAGGTACACCGATCTTTTTAAACTGCGAACTGACGCCCGCCTGAGATCCCTTAATTGCACAAAATTTTGTGTTCGTGTAAATTTTGCATAACTCAGTCAAACGATCGTTCATTACCCTGCAAGCTTCAATTTCATTTTCGTAAATATGAATAATGATGGTAACCCGTTGATCCTCTTCATCGATACAACTTAAAAACTCTTTGCCGTCTTTTAAATAAATAAGTTTTCCAAAGTGAGCTTGAGACTCAAATTTAGTTACCATCTCCTCCATCCGTTTTCTTTGATATTCTAGTAGAAACTGATCGTCTAACAGTTCCGCTTCCAGCTCGGCCCACTCTTTTTCCTCATCAAGCGCCGTCTGAACTGTAAGAGTTAATTTTTTCGCCAACTCGATACAGTTACGTTCCTCAATTTCTCGTTTCTCTTTTTCCAATTGTCTGAAACCTTGCCAATCCTTTATAACACCTTTTGGACCGGTATTTTGTGACACGCCTTCCCATTTTAACACTTCCTGTGGTGTGTTCTCCACTTGAGGTTTTGTTACCTTTTCGGTTTCGGAAGTGGCCTCATCCTCACCATCGCTTTCCTCACTGCTGCTGCAATAATTGTGGGACTTTTCACCTAGAATTTTATCTTCTAAGGTGGCCATGGTAAGGTTAACAAATTTTAGAAATGAATTAAATGAATCACAACTTCCTTAATACGTAATTGCGCCAATTTGAAGATATTATTACCTTCTTAAATACACGCGCAAACAGAGTTTACTGTTCTAAATTGAGGAATTTTTAAGTTTTTAATTTATTAGCTTTGATCTTAAAAAACGCCGCCATGTTTTGGTATTCTGGAGACTGGAGAGGGAGTATTCAATCAGAGTAGGCGCAAGGTAGGGCAAATTAGGAGTACACTAAAAATGCAGGACCGCAATAAGAAGGTAGAGACGAGGGGATACTTGTAAAAATACAAAATTTGCCAGTTGTATTTAATATTTATTAGGATATTAAATTATTAACAAGCATGTTCCGTAATTTCCCACAAAAATGCGCAATCGTCACTAAGCATTGAAAATCTTTAAAATGTCTGTATTACAAAATTTTGTGAATTTTTATTGTTACGAAAGCTTGTGGATCCCGCTATATAGTAGAAATGATTTCGTATTTTTGTAGCTTATACATACGAAGTTAGCTCCATTTGTCACGACAATATCACTGGCATTTTTGCTCGCATTTCTTGTGACAAATCAATGATAGGCGAGACATTTTAAATGCAAGCGAATATGGACTATATAGAACTAATTTGGCGTTCGCAACGTATGATGGAAATTTTTAATACAACACAACAAGCAATCTAACAGAAGCAGATTGAATTGAAGTTTTCATACCGATGCGTGCCATTTTATATCCCTGTTTCCCGTGTTGGAGTGCGCCCACGTGACTGGTACGATGTTTGGGAGTATGTTACTGTTAGCTCACCGGAGACATACGAAACAATTGATGGCAGTGTTGCCTTGATTGTCAAACGCCTGTCACGTAGAATTGTGTGGCGTTGCCATATAAACACTACATGTCTTCAGTGTGACTGAATGTGTCATCTAGAACAGTGGTTCTCGGCGAGTTTCAACGTGGCGGACGGTTACATTGTTATCGTGTTTGCCTTTATTGCATTTGTAACAATAAACATAAATGAAACTTAATAAAAGTAATTTTCCGAAACATTAAAAATATTACACGTGATCATGGACCGGCACTTGTCCGTGGACCACCACTTTGAAAAGCGCTGGGCGTCGATTCCCGAAGATGTGCTGTGTTCACATCGGCTGACCTTGATGTGAACGCGAATGTGACTGCATTTTCGAACCTATCACATCGAGCGATAAGTTGATCGAACGCAACGACTGGTCTAGACCACTCGTTGCGTGAAAGTCATGCGCAGTTGCAGCTACACGACGGATCTTGCAGCTGTTTTGCTTGGGTGATTTTTACAGTGCCCTTAACCTATACATTCACGTATTTTCTGTAAAATAAAACATGGAATTGTTCCAGGATTTTCTGATTATTAATAAGTATAAGTTAATAACAGTATACATAATGCAAAAACAAAACAAAATACAAAACTGACAAATGACAGTTCTATTCTTGTCTGTGATTGATTAGCGCATAAAGTTTGTCCACGATTCGGGAATGCAGCTAAACTTTAACTTATCCCTATCGTATACGATCATGACGTCATGGCAGCCGGTCACATCACGGAGCATATCGACTAACTTCGGGAATTCAATGCTTCGGGAATCGATGCCCTGATCTATAAATAGATTACACTAATCGTACCTAAAATTTGCTATTCGAAGTGGGACGCCCTATATATAATAGTGCTACCAACAAAACGCAACAGCTTCATGGTCTTTAATTATGGAAATTACTGAAAAATTAAGGCCATAAATTGAGAATGGGTGAATGTCTGCTTAGTTATATAAAAGCACGCATCATGCTAATTACCTTTTTTTCTCTTAAATTTGAATGCTAATGACTAGACCAGAAAGGTTATTGGGAGTTTTAATTTTTGGTGATTGGTATTGCAATGTAGCATTTTCATGCGCGTGCAAGGCATTGTGGGAGTAGAGCTCAACCGGCATGTTTGCTACTTGTATGTAAAGAACGCTATTTGTGTTATCCATACGAATTTCAGTGAATTTTAAAGTATGTGTTTACCCGACTATCATAAATTACATTAAACTAAGTGCCAATTGTGTTATTAAAATGGAGGATGCTAACCGTACTTTGTTTGCATCCGCAATTTCTGAGGATGAATGGTCGCAAATTCCCTCCGAAATTGCAAAAAAAATATGCAACTTCGTCGAGGAGAAGTTTGACGAACTTATTACTACAAAGGCGTTGTCTGAAACTAGTAAATTTAATACGGGTAAGCAGTTACGTCTTTATAATATTGTACGACGCCATAATTTTGCTTGCAGAAACCATTTTAAATGAAACAAATGAGAAACTGAAGACTGCTGATAGTAACGTACAAGAAGGGAATCTTAAACTGGAAGCTGCTACACGCACCATTGCAGAATTAGAAACACAAATTTCGACTTGTACATCCGATATAACTAAGTTGCAAACGACATGCAATCGTCTAGAAGCCGAGGCCGCCGATTGTCGACATCAAAAGAATATTATGTTAGGAGAAAAAGATGAATTGGCTAACATACTTGAGCGAACCACTGCAGAAGTTGAACGACAGAAAATGGAAATTACAACTCTAACAAATCAGTTGCACGATGCTATCAACGCAAAATGTACAGCTCTGGCAGAATACGGCGAAATTCAATCGATGAAACTGACACTCGAGTACAAAGAAAAACGTCTTGATCAAGAAAAGCTGCTGTTAAACAATCAGGTGGAAACGTTAACTCAAAGTTTAGACGAGCGCACCGAGGAGCTATTAAATATGAAGAAAGATAACAGTTTGAGGTGTGTGCAGTTAGAGAATAAGTTAACGGATAAAACGCAGGAGCTGACTGTTGCGCTTGAATCGATTCGCAGTCTCAATGATATTAACGATAATCTAAACGAAAAGATCGAAGGGTTGATGGATGACTTGAAGAAGCGAAATGAGAAAGATGCGAAAACTTACGAAGCTTACCAGCACGAAATAGCCGCACAGACAAAACTGGCCGAACTGTACAAGGCGGCAGGCGAGCAAAACCAAGACCACGTAGATCACCTCTCGAATGCTGTGAAAGAGTTACAAACGCTACTCCAAGAAACATCAAACAAGTACGGCGAATTAGAGACAAAGCATAAAGAAATGCAGCTTGCCAATGATGAAATTATCGCTAAGAAAAACGAGTGCATAGCCATGCTAAAGCAGGAGTTGGAAGTGAGTAACGAGCTATTCAACGCGTGTAAGGACGAAAATCTTCAAAAGGAAATCGAAGAGATTTCTCCATCTGCGGCTGCAGCCTCTCGACTGATCAAACCCGGAATGTCACTGACTCAAATTTACACTCAGTATGTTAATGTGAGCAATGAGCTGATCACGCAAAAGGAAGAGTGCGCGAGGTTACAGTCGTACATACAGCACATCATTAACGAACTTGAGGACAAGGGCCCGTTGTTAAAGAAACAGAGAGAAGATTACGAAACCGCAATGGAAAATCTCAAGGAGGTGACCGATAACAACTACGCTCTCTCGGTGGAGTGCCAGCAGTATCGTGAGGAAACTCTACAGGCCAAGCATAACGAAGATATTCTTTTACGGGAGAATGATCGTTATAAAAAAGAGGTTGCTGATTTAAGTCGCCAGGTAAGGTCGTTGTATGTGGAACATAAATAATGGTACAGTTGAGCAGCACTAATGGCACACTTGGTGTTTGTAGAAATTATTTGCGTTTGTTTATCGATTTGCTGATGATCGTTACTCCAAAAGTTGGTAGAAGTATGAGAGGTAAGTGTGGACCTGAACGTAGAGGAGTTCTTTACCGTGAAAATGCGTACTCTTTTTTTTTTTAAATTAGAATTTTGAAATTTTTGCCAATAGAATAAATGAAGGGTTGTCACATAGTGAAAAATGTGCACAAAAGAATACCCGAGATTTGCTAAAGACTATCGGAGAATACCCAAAGACTTACCGAAGAATTCCCAAGAAGTGCTAGAGATTTCCGAACAATCCCTAGAAGTTTCCTTGAAATTCCCAGACTTTTCCAGAATTCCCAGAAATGTGTAATGTTCAAGAGTTCTGTGTTGACTTAACAGATCTAAGATTACAATTAGTTATATATTACCCTGATTAATACGTTCCACGAATTTTAGATTTGTAAAAGACTGGATATACAGTAGACTCAGTAATTCGGCAGATATCCTTATTACTGATTTATTTATTTACAATTAACTAACAATAAATTTATAACAATCTTAAAATTGATTAATTCATAACAGTTAGTTAGTATTTTATCACTCTCAATATATACCATATAAGCCGAGCGTGTTGATGTTGGAACTGACTGAAGCATAATGTGATTTGCTTATATAGCAAATATTCAAGAAACACATCATATTTACAGGAAAGAATGAGTCACATCCTCTTTCGCTTTTATCGCTGATGGCTAATCTTTTTTGGCGCCTCGATATCTATCAGGATTTCTAGAATATTAGCCACGGTATTATTTTATCAAGATAATATTGAATACTTAAAATTTTTTAAAACTCAATTCTTTTTTTGTTAGCGGGAATTTTATATACAGTATATCCCAGAATTAATGTTACAAGTGAACTGTTTGAATTTTAATTCAAGATTGTGAGAGTGAAAAAATTGTAGTTGTAGGTGTGGATACTGGATCTATGGGGATTTACTATAATTCAACCGGTTTAACCGGGTGGGTAGGTTTTGCTATGGCTACAAGTACTACCACAATTGTTTCTATGGTGATTTCTATCAACCCGGTTAAATTATCGTAAATCCGCTATGATGATGACAGACAGACTGAATTCACTCATATAAAAAATCCTATACAACTGAATATCGAACGATCCTTGAGATCTATGACGGTGAGATGGGGTTGGCGCTGCTTTAACTTAACCCCGTCGAATTAAACAGCCAACTAACTCAGGGTTGGAAAAAATTAAAGGCTTGAGATCTTCAGTGGTTGATTCGTTTAGAGTATGTAATCTTCAGTTCCTGGTTGTATTTATCATAGGGTTGAGCGCCACCCAGCTTCTTTAAATACTTTACTTTCTCTGTATACAACTGAGAAGATACAAGGGAATTAACAGTGAAATCAAATTAATAAAAGAAATACTGGTTTATTCTAGTCAATATCTAAATAAAATTATCTCCAAAATTGAATAACGTATCCAATACAAAAATACTCTCCAATATTTAAAGAATATTGATTAAACTTGATTTAAAACTCAAATTAAATATCCAATACTTTCCTCCGACAAACCGTTTTCGAGATATTCGCTTTTAATGTTTTGAAATCACCAATGGATATTTTGCTTCCAGACGTCCTAATCGCTCTTTGTGAGTACCCTCTTCCGACAATCCGGTCTGAAGATATAAGGGAATATATCCGACCACGATAAGCGGTCGAGGATAAGCACCATGGTTGGTAGAAATTATTTCCTTTCTTTGAGACCTTTCATTAGAGTACCATGAAGGATAAAACAAACCAGTTCCACTACCCCCCCCCCCCCTTCTAACCCCCTCTTTTGATGAGGGGTCAGAAAATCATTCATGGTTTTTGTTGAGACCTTTAATTAGAATACCATAAAAGATAACATTAATTTCTACCCCCCCCCCCCCCCCCCTTCATGCCTCGTCACCCACTGATCTCGAAAATGAGTCGTGCGGCAAAGTTATAGTTTGTCGAGGAGGAGGGCTATGATTGGTAGAAGTTAATTCCTTTCGTTGAGACCTTTCATTAGAATACCATGAAGGGGTAGAATGTGCGTTTACCTCCCTAACTTGGCACCACTAAAGGCATGCGTATGCAAAATCTGAGACCAAGTGGTTGTCGTATGTAAAAGTTATGCACGTTTTACTTTCGAAAACAGCATCTCGTGAAATAATTCATGGGGGCCCCCCTTTAAGGCACCAAAATTGTATGGCCATCTGGCACACCTTCACCATCCCCTAGAAGTGGTTCAAAACGGCAGAAGTGAGGCCGGACGAACGGACGGACGGACAAAACGCAAACACTAGCACATTTTTTTTTAATCTTAACAAAATGCGCTAAAAATTGTGGCTAGCACAGATACCACCCGCGTGCCTACGCATGCGCGATTCTGCCCAATAGCATTTCAGCTCTTCCTTTTATGTCTTAAGAATATGTGTACCAAATTTGGGGAGTACAGACAAATCGACAGCATTGAGATTGTGTCTGATTTGGATTCCTGGGGCTTCAAAAGGTGTACTTTCGTCTAAAAAGTGGAGGAGGAGGGTCATTTTTTTACCCCAATGCAATGTACCTTACTAACGTGGAGGTGGTAATGTAGATGGACTGAACATCCTCGGACTAAAAGACGCAAAAAACCATTACGCATGCGCAGAGTGAGATTTCTTATTTGTGACTCAATTATTCTGAAATTTCAGAGGAAAACAAGAAAATTGAAATTACGCCTCAAAAAATGGATTGCGCATGCGCAGAGTTCACTTTCTTATTGTGGGTCACTTTTTCCGAAGTTTTAAGTGAAGATTCTTCTTACAAAATTGAATTGAAAAAACACGTACAAAAATGGGTTGTGTGTGAGCAGAGCCAACTTTCTTAGTTGCGGACAAATTTTTCAAATTTCTGCCTCCAACACAAAACTATATTTTTTTAAAAATTAAACGTAACTTACTGCAGTCGTCCTCAAAAAATAGTGGTCTTCTTGTGAGCGTTCACCCCTTTCCACACTTATCTTCATCTTTAATTCATAAAAATCTGGTAAACAAACAATATATAAAGTGTTCCATGTTTGATGTGTGTTGTACCATTATTTTGTTCACACGCATTATATTCAGTTTACTCCACACCTCCAAAATTTAGGTTTGCCATCTGCTACGAGAGATCGAATTGTCACGCGTCGGATCAAACGTCACCTCCCCGGACCAGGATATGTCAGATAGCATGAGTTCGGGCGAAATTATAAGTAAACGTCTCGTTACGTTCAGCGACATTACTGAGCTGCAGGGTACCAATCAACGTTTGCTGTCACTGGTGCGCGAGTTAAGTTCAAAGCAAGAGGAAGTGGAAGCGTTGGATCCGACGGCGATCGCCCAACTGAAGATGAAGTTGGAGACGATGAAGGAGACGCAGAGTAGTTTATTGGAACAGCAAGACAGTCAAAATAAAATGATGAGTATGATCGTTAACCAGCGTGACATGTATAAGACTCTGTACGAGCAAGCTTCGAAGGGAATAGGCGAAGATGGTGGTCTGACCCTCGACAGACTTGAGGGTGAAAAGGGTTCCCAAAGTTCAAAGGGTCAGGAGGATTCCGAGTCTCGGTGTGATGATAAGGTTTGTATCAATAAAAAATTTTTCTTTTACATTATTGGGAATAATAGAACGTGTTCCTCAAGGTAATATACTGGGACCACTTCTACTGTTATTATCTACTAGTGCTTTCTACTTTTGGATAGTGTTTTATGCTCTTGTTGTTTTGCGGTGCAGGTGCAGACATTGGAAGGCCAGCTTGATAAAGCAAAAAAAGAAATTAGCACGCTTAAAGAGGAGAATGATACATATCGAAAAGAAAAAAGTGTGAATGAAAAGATGTTGGTTGATCAGCTGGAAGAGATGCGGAAAGAAGTACGAGAAGTTACCCGCCAAAATTGCAAACTTACATCAGTTTCGGAACTAAACGATGAACGTTTCAAAGTAATGCAATCCAATACGGAAGTTTACAAAAAACAGATTTCCGCTTTGGAGAAACAAAACAAAATTTACAGCGAAAGCAACATAAAGCACGAACAAATGATGACATATTTGAAAGACGAAACTTTGCAATCCCAAACGAAGCTTTCGACGGCGGAAGTAAAATTGGCCAATTTAGAAAAGGAAATCGCCCTTTTACGAGATAGAGAGTCACGATTGGTGAAAGAGGTGGAATTTTTGAAAAAGGAGACTCACGCCAAAAACTTACTGCAAACGAACATCGAACTGATAAAAGCAACTTTGGAGAGAAACGACGCGGAGAGTCGAATCAGGCTCGAAGAGCGACTGGACGAAGCGCACCGGGAATGTGCAGCTTTACGACGCCGTCTACAAGAAGAGCAGGACCGCTTCCGCGAGTTGGGCGACCATCTTGAGAAACAGACTCGTGCGGCGCAGGTCGGTCAACTACTATCTTTAAAATGTTACTCTAGCCTTTTGTTTTAGGCTCAAATGGAAGAAGAGAAAGGACACGCCTCCAAGCTTCGGAAGGAGGTGGCGGAAACACGTGATGATTTAATCGCGAAACAAATTCAAATAGAAGAGCTAACCAAAAAACTGAAGAACTCCCTTATGGTCATTCCGGAAAATAGCGTAGAAAGTCATAAGTTTAGCGAATTGGAAAGGATACTAAGCGACAGCCAGGCAGAGGTGCAGTCGTTGCAATTGCAATTAAAAACTGCCAAAGACACCATCGAACAGCACTGCAATGTGGCGGAAGGTGCCGAAAATCAACTCAAGGCTGTATTAGAAGAACAAGAGAAGTATAAAAAAACTATGGAGATGACGCTAAGTGAAAAGCAGCAGCAGATCGCGAAACTTGAAGAGCAGTGCAGTGAACTTCAAGGGGAGCTAACAATACAAGATGATGACGTTAATGTGGATGCACGAAGCAAATTGCATAGAATTGAAGAAGAGCTCAAGGCTAGTAAGGTCGATTTGAACGAGTGTAAATCTGCTTTGGTCGTTGCTCAGACTAAAATACATGAGTTGACAGCTGATGTTGAGACTGCCGAGAATAAATATGCTCACGAGATGCTGTTACATTCCACCGATTTACAGGTAAGATAATTTATAGTCTTCAAAATTCAAAGTTGTTAAATTTTTTAAATCGAATTTATTATGAGAGGGCTTGAACCGTTCTTGCAAAATAATCCAAAAGAAGAAATGAAATGAATCTAAGGGGAAACAAGTACCATTTTTGGTGTACACCAAAAATTCAAATTCAAATTAATTCACGTTAAATCAGGTTAATTCACGTTAAGTCAAATTAATTCTAGTGGTAGAACGATACCGATATTGATATCGGCATATCGGCAATTGTTGCCGATTATCGGTATCGTATCGTATCGGCAAGGTAATTGCGCCGATATATCGGCAAACAATTTTTTTAGCTGTTTTAACTCTTCAGTGCATAAATGAAATACTTTATTAAAGAAAATAAAATGTTTTATTCTAAAGTTAACATTTTTACTAAAAAAGTTAAAAAAAAACAACAAAAAATATACCTAATATAGCAGGTTCTAAATACAGTATATACATACATATACTTAATACTTAAAATTTAACTTTTTGATATTATGATGCAAAAACACTAACATTTCAGCCCTATCTGCATTTAGTCTATTTCTTTTAGGCTCGTAAATATTACCCAATTCACTAAAAAGTTGTTCACTTGACACACTGGCAGCGGGTGCTGAAAGGTAGACTGAAGCTGCGTTGTACAGAATAGGTAATTTGTTTTTTTCTGCCTTCCACCACTCAAAAGGGGATTTATCTTTTAATAGAGTTGAAGATGCCAAATATAATATTATTTCATTTTCCCAACCTTGCTTTTTTGTAGTACTGGTTTCGGAAGCTGAAGTAGAGGCAATGATCTCAAAAGTTTTTGCTTGACCGTGTCTAAATAGTAACGCCATCTATTGTTTGCCGATACGATACGATATATCGGCACGTAAATATCGGTATCGGCCGATATATCGTATCGGCAAAAAAAAGTGATATCGTTCTATCACTAATTAATTCAAGCTAATCTATACAATTTCTGAGGAGGAAGCACATTGAGACGCCATGAGCTACGATGCAGTCGCAAATTTGACCAAAGAACATTGAGGAAAATTTCATTACATTTGGAGAGACTGCATCTAGGATTGCATTATTAACAATCCTCGAAATCGTTTATAATTTTGTATTGCTGTCTGTCCATGCGCACGATGACTTTGTGTAGACATGTCCGATCGCTTTGAAATTTGATAGACATGTTCTTCGGGATATAAAAAAATACGCTATGGTTTTTTGGCAACGTGCACTAACAGGCGAAAAAGTTACAGTCCAAACCTTAAAACAAAGGGTTTCTGTTATAATTCTTGGTACAAAGAACATGTCCGGTTTTCTGTGTTAGTAAATATTCCTAACCTCAAGCAACTATGCAGTATAAATTGTGCACAACTCTCGTGCAGATAAAGCGCATTTTTTTTTTAACCAAAATAGCTTTTGTTTTGACATCACCAATGGATATATTTCGCCCTTTGTGAGTACCCACTTCGACAATCCGTTCTTGCAGTATATTATTATTATTTATTGTATCTAAAAGAATTACAATGATTCCTTATTGCAGTATAAGGGAATACGAGTATATCTGATCACGATAAGAGGTTGAGGAGGAGGGCTATGGTTGGTAGAAATTAATTCCTTTCAAAGACCGTTCACTAGAGTACCATGAAGGACAAAAGGAGAGAAGGGCAGTAGTTGGTAGAAAACGGTTCCTTTCGTTGAGACCTTTAATTAGAATACAATGAGAGATGAGAGATAAAATTAATTTCCCCCCCCCCCCCTCAAACACCGTCGCTCACTGATCTCGATAAAGAGTTGCACTGGAAGGTTATAGTTTGTACAAACCAATTTATTTCGATGAGACCTTTCATTAGACTTCTACCATGAAGCTAGAACATGTGTTCCCCCCCCCCCCCCCATTTTCTAAAGTTTAACTTGGCACCACTGCGTATGTAAAGTTATGCACGTTTTGTGTGGGGTCTCCCTTTTAGACAGCGAAATTTGATGACCGTTTGCACACCTTCAAGGTATAGGCTACCTACTGCAAAAAATTCCAGGACTCTAGGACCATTCCCCTACAAGTAGTTCAAAACGGTAGAAGTGGGTCCGGACGGACGGGCAAAACGCAAACAATAGCACATTTTTTAATTCTTCAAAAAATGCGCTAAAAAATTGCGCATGCGTAACCCAACTTTTGTATTTGCGCAATCCCAATTTTTATCATTTCTCAAGATATTTAAATGAAATTTTGTCTGTACGCACCTCAAATAAATGTAAAACTAATGCCAAGCAAACAATTTGGTTTGCGCATGCGCAACCTGATTTTTTGACATCTCCGTTAGTTATGAACCGAATTACATGAAATTTTATACGTAGTCACATCGAATAAAAGCAAAACTAGTGCCGACAAAAAAAATTGTTTTTCTACAACTGTCAAAAAAACTCATTTTCTGACGAATTTCGAAATACGAAGTAGTAGCTTTTTAAACGGTTAATTAATAAGTAATGTTGCTCATGACAATGTGCCCGAAACTGTCAACAGTGAAAAAGACTATTTCGTGCACGTGACAAACTCGGCTACGACTCGTCAAAATACCTTCAGTCTCAATGCGCGAAATTGAACTTCGCGCTCTTGTTATATAAATAACTATTATTTGTCATTTGCCTATTATATGTCAATTATATCGGTCATATGTGATATATGAAGTAGTCTATTACGCCCAAGGGCATAATGAGATGACAAGATGACATGACGGCTTGTCAAATATATTGACGGGCTTATATTATGTAATAAAAATGATGCAACTTGATTCTTATGAAGCACTTTAATGTTGGGCAAACAATAATCATGACATTTGTATATTGGACATGCATTCTTTTCTACTTTCTAGTGTTCTTTTTACACGTAAATTATGCGTTAAGTGCAAGAGCACAAAGGGCTGCATGCCTCTTAGTGGCCTTTTGGGTGCCAAGTTGTATGTATAATATTGGTATTGTTTATATATCTGTCAAGTGTGTCCAAATAAAGTCAATATTATTATTATTATTATTAAATAGAAGCGTGCTTAGAAGAATAGTATATTGTTCACCAAGGACGAGAAGTGAGTTTTCGCTGACAAGTCGGAAGTTTTACTTACGAGGCGCCTTTAGAAATGTCAGCGGATCTCACTCGTCCGTCGTAAACACTAAATTTTTTTTATTAGTATGCTGGTACTGCTTGCATATAAACGGCTAGTCAACACAGATATAGAAATCAAAAGAGGCAGAGAAGTGGCTGCTCCTAGCAACGAAACAATACTTCGCTATTTTGAATATTATGATCAGCAAAATGTCATTTAAATATCTTAACAAATAAAACAATCCGATTGCGCATGCGCAAAACAAATTTTTTGATTTCGACATTAATTTTACTTTTATTCGAGCTACCTACATACAAACTTTCCAGTAGTTGGGTTGATAATTAACGGAGTTGTCAAAAAATCGAATTGCGCATACGCAAAATAACTTTTTTCATGCGCCATTATTTCTACTTTTATTCGAGGTGCCTACATACAAAATTTCATGCAATTTGGTTCATAAATAACTGAGATCTCAAAAACTCGGAGTGAGCATGCGCAAAACAACTTTTTTGATTCGGCATTAGTTGTATGATAATAATAATATATTTATCCAGTTATAAGACATTTACATAAAAAATTTCATGTAATTCGGTTCATAACTAACGGAGATGTCAAAAGGGCCTTCCTTATTGTTTGCCTACATTGCCAGTTTACAAACCACAATCTTCAAATTTTGATAAAGAATCCACATGCAAAATTTTATCGTAATTGGTCCACCCGTTCTCTTTTAAATCGATGGACATGAAACCAACGAGCGAGCGATGGGAGAAAGCATAACCGTCTCGTTTAAAATTCGACGCTAATATAAAAGTGGTCGCCATTTTGTTCCAAAAGGTGAAAATTCACAAACTTGACCGAGATATTGATGAGTTACACCAATCCTTAAAGTTTGGTCAAAAATCGGTTCATAATTACAAAAGTTAGTGTTTCTTGGAAGTGATAGAAATGCAAACAAATTCAAATTATTTCAGGTCAATTCAGAATAATTCGCGTTAATTCAACACGGTCAATTCGCCACCGGACCACTCGCCACCGACTGACTATCCAACGCGACAACTCGCCAACGGGACAACTCGCCACCGCGACAACTCGCCAACGGACGACTCGCCACTGCGACAACTCGCCAACGAAATATTTTTCCTTGTTTAATGGTGTCNAATGAAAAGCAGCAGCAGATCGCGAAACTTGAAGAGCAGTGCAGTGAACTTCAAGGGGAGCTAACAATACAAGATGATGACGTTAATGTGGATGCGCGAAGCAAATTGCATAGAATTGAAGAAGAGCTCAAGGCTAGTAAGGTCGATTTGAACGAGTGTAAATCTGCTCTGGCCGTTGCTCAGACTAAAATACATGAGTTGACAGCTGATGTTGAGACTGCCGAGAATAAATATACTCACGAGATGCTGTTACATTCCACCGATTTGCAGGTAAGATAATTTATCTTCTTCAAAATTCGAAGTTGGTAGATTTTTTAAATAAAATTTATTATGAGAGAGCTTGAACCGTTCTTGCAAAATAATCCAAAAGAAGAAATGAAATGAATCTAAGGGGAAACAAGTACCATTTTTGGTGTACACCAAAAATTCAAATTCAAATTAATTCACGTTAAATCAAATTAATTCACGTTAATTCAGGTTAATTCACGTTATGTCAATTTAATTCACGTTAATTCAGGTTAATTCACGTTAAGTCAAATTAATTCAAGCTAATCTATACAATTTCTGAGGAGGAAGCACATTGAGACGCCATGAGCTACGATGCAGTCGCTAATTTGACCAAAGAACATTGAGGAAATTTCATTACATCTGGAGATTGACTGCATCTAGGATTGCATTATTAACAATCCTCAACATCGTTTATAATTTTGTATTGCTGTCTGTCTGTCCTTGCACACGATGACTTTGTGTAGACTCGTCCGATCGCTTTGAAATTTGATAGACATGTTCTTCGGGATTTATCCAGTTATAAGACATTTACATAAAAAGTTTCATGTAATTCGGTTCATAACTAACGGAGATGTCAAAAGGGCCTTCCTTATTTTTTGCCTACATTGCCAGTTTACAAACCCCTATCTTCAAATTTTGATAAAGAATCCACATGCAAAATTTTATCGTAATTGGTCCACCCGTTCTCTTTTAAATCGATGGACATGAAACCAGCGAGCGAGCGATGGGAGAAAGCATAACCGTCTCGTTTAAAATTCGACGCTAATATAAAAGTGGTCGCCATTTTGTTCCAAAAGGTGAAAATTCACAAACTTGACCGAGATATTGATGAGTTACACCAATCCTTAAAGTTTGGTCAAAAATCGGTTCATAATTACGAAAGTTAGTGTTTCTTGGAAGTGATAGAAATGCAAACAAATTCAAATTAATTCAGGTCAATTCAGAATAATTCGCGTTAATTCAACACGGTCCACTCGCCACCTGACCACTGGCCACCGACCGACTAGCCAATGGGACAATTCGTCAACGTGACAACTCGCCAACAAGACAACTCACCAACGAAATATTTTTCCCTGTTTAATGTGTCATACAAATGCATCCCACAAATGCAATAGTCAATTTCCCTAATTTTCTAAACAAAGTTTATCGAAAAATTGTAGTCAATATTTGAATGAAGACCCAACCGCCTATACCTGTTTCTATTACTGCATTTTGATATAACGACATCTTCTGCAAATTATTATTTGAACAGAAAACTTGTCAATCAAATCGTTATTTGAACGACACATCAAACAGGGAAAAATATTTCGTTGGCGAGTTGTTGCAGTGGCGAGTCGTCCGTTGGCGAGTTGTCGCGGTGGCGAGTTGTCCCGTTGGCAAGTCAATCGGTGGCGAGTCGCCCTTGGCGGGTTTACGCGTACCGAATTAATTTTATTTTTTATTTTATTTTATTTATTATCCCTCTCTTGTTCTGGGCCCTCAACAGACATGCACCCAATTAATTCAAATTAATTCGCGTTAATTCAAATTAATTCGCGTTAATTCAAATTAATTCGCGTTCATTCAAATTAATTCACGTTCAAACAAATTAATTCACGTTCAAACAAATTAATTCACGTTAATTCAAATTAATTCAAAGGGGTGTACACCAAAAATTCAAAGTTGTTTCCGCCTAGAAATGAATAATAAAATAAAACCACTCGCTTTTATGAATGCAGATGAACTCAATTTTCTTAAGTTAAGTTGAATTGTATCGGGTGACCCAATAAGACTGTTCCTCGGCTATATCTCGGGAACCGTTCGTCGTATGACTTAGGGGTAAAAAAACTTATTGTGTAAATCGGTTATGAAAAATCGCTAGAAAATATTTTCAAGTTCCAAAAATGACCACCAGAGCGCGTAACTGCCATCTTAAATTGTAAAATTGCATTTTCTTTCAATTTCGCATAATAAACTAAACATTCCTTTTTCACATTTTTAAAGAGAACCAGTTTATCTATCATTTTCGTAAAAACAAAAACTCAGTTATTTCAAAAACAAAGATGGTGTGCACACATCATGTTCAATTGTTTTCGCAATAACCTGCTTTAACTTCTTAAACGTTTGACCGATTGTAACAAATTTGGTATCGTTGAAAGGAGCATTCATTAGTTAATTTAGTGGAATCCTTCTCCGCCAGGGGGCTAGTTTTGACACTATGATCCAAAATCCTAAAAAGTCAAATGGAATGATATGACTTTTTCTTTATGAAAAAGTAGCCAAATAACATCCCAAGAGGCCAGTGAAAACCGTTTTTCAAAATCTCGTTCCTAACCTCAAATATTGGGAAAATGAGATTAATTAATTAATTAATAAAAATGCTTAAATTGTATCTTATTTGACGTATTTCCGGTAATTGTCGATGGCGCAAAAGATTGCTTGGAAAAGCACCCTACACTTTTAGGTAGGCCTTGGAAAATTAAACAAATGAAACATGATGCATTATAAAATAATAACAGCCGTAATTTGTAAATTATTCTGCTGTGTTTACATTCAGAAAGTGCAGTTTTTTGAATTTGTTTTCTAAAATGCCGATTTCTAACCAAGATAAAGTTGTACGAAAGTTGAAAAATCAAAAAAGCGTGCTTGGTCCTGATGTGGTTCTTTTAATCATGTTGTCTTTTGTATGTAACCTGCCCAGAATTCTGTTTTCATGTATGCCAAAAATTAAGGGGACGTAATACTACAGTTTCTGTTTGATTACTTGTTATGTCTTAAAAAATCTTGGATTGTATATCAAATACCTATCGCAACATTTTTATGCTAAACAAACGTTAAACGAATTGATTTGTTGAAGTTGAAAATAACACAAAAGTGGTTAACTGGAGTTTAGAATTACTAGTGTAATTGACGTGCACGTGACCCATTTGTAAATTTGTCCTCGTATTGACATATTTATTGACTTCGTGAACTATAAACTGAAAGTTGCTTTGGCGTGGATCGCGATCCAGTTTTAATTATGTTAGCTAATCTTCTGAAGAATTACTATTTATTGACGGGTCTAATGCGCCACAATGGCGCCGTTTTGTTACAGTATAATATTTAAGATTCCTATGCTAATTTCAATTCTTTTTTCTAGACTTTAACGTCACTAAAAGAAGAAGTTACGAATTTAAATACCGAAATTCAAGAACTCAAACTGGTAAGAGATCACTCCGTATCAGCTCTAGAGGAATACAAAGTGGGCTTAGCATCACGCGAGGAGTTCTTCCAAAAAGAAAAGGAACAGCTTGAACTCAGATTTAAAGACCTAGACAGTCAAAATGCGCTATTACTCGATCAAATTCAATCCCTTAATACGCAAATCACCATTATGCAAACGCAAGCTACGGAACAGCAGAACCAATCAATCGGTAGTGCGGATGTTAGCTTTAATAGATCCTTCACAGACGAGGACGTTAAGTCTTCCGAACAGCTTCTAAAAATTATCAAATACTTACGCCAGGAAAAAGACATTTCGGTTAGCAAATGCGAGATTCTAGAAGCGGAACTTTTACGTCTAAAATCTCAGCACGACCTGATTACGAAACAGCTCGAAGATGCCAAGGCAAATCTAGAGGCGGAAAGGCAGAAATCCGAAGTATCGATGGTCACAGCAGCTAAACACTCCGAAGTGTTGCGTAAAGTGGAAACTCTTAACGCCATCACAGATAGTAACAGAACTCTTCGGCAGGAACGTGACGGCCTATCGTCGCAAATTAGCGATCTCAAAGCGCGTACCGCCCTTTTGGAAGATCAGGTCGCGCCACTTCAAGAGAAAAACAAGGACTTGAGTTTGAAGTTTGACGCGTTGCATAGCGAAAATGTTTCGTTGAGAGGCGAGGCCACGAGATGGCGGCAGCGTGCCAATATGCTTATAGAAAAATCAAATCGCACAAGTCCAGAAGATTGGAAAAAGTTACAAAATGAGCGTGAGAATTTAGCTAAACAACTCGCGATTGAAAAAGGTACCAGTACTAAGTTGGGCGACGATTTGAATAACGTACGACATGAAAAAACCAAATTAGAAGAGCAATTGCGTAGCTTGCGGTCGCAAAACAATCAAGTTAGTGATGACCTTGAGAAAACACGCAGCGATCTCGCCAAAGTTAGAGAGCAAGTGACCGAATTAACTCATTCTCTCGATGAAACAAAGGAGAATTACTCCAAACTTTTGGAGGAAAAAAATAAAATTGAAGCCGATATGACGAATAAAGGTGAAGTAATTGTAGATTTGAAAAACAATTTGTTGGCCGTAAGAAAAATTGCGAAGAAGTATAAGCAGCAGTGTGAAGATCTCACTGGAACAATGGACGCATTGAAACAGGAGAACGAGGAACGAAACAAGAATGAGGCGACGGCTGCCGAGAAACAACAACAGACTCTTGCGGAGGAACGTACCTTGATGCAAGAACGTATCTCTCTGCTGGAAGTTAATCACAATGAAAAAGTAGAACAATTAACGCAACAAATTTCAGCGGCAAATGAAGAAATAAGTAATCACCAAAAGGAAATTGAGTCCTTGAAGCAGTCTGCTGTCGAAAAGGACGATAGGTTTAAGAGCATATTTAAAAATGCCAAGGAACGTCTGATAACATTAACTGAAGAAAATAACACTCTTCGTTCAGAACGTAGCCGCTCATCTGATGACTCGAGTGACAAGGGTAAAAATAGTGAAGTGGAAAAGTTAATGAAAGAGAAAGAAGAAATATTGCAGGAGAAACAGCTGGAAAAAGATCGCCTTATGAGCGAAATAGAAACTTTAACGCAAAGGGTGAACCAATTGCAGAGACAGTTGGGACAGCAAGGATCTAAGCCGACCACTAGCTCGGGAACATCGGAAAAATCAACCAGCGAACCACCGACCGCCAACATTAAACCAATGGCCGGCCATTCCACAAATACTCAAACACATTCGGTTCAAATACAACCGTGGCGAAGTGGACCGGAAACTCCTCTTGCCAGTATTAGGCCTATGTCTATGCAAGTTCGTACTGCAGCCGTTTTACCTACTAGCCAGGGTCCATCAACTAGTCAATCTCCGAGCGCGGTAATGGTGCCGCCTCAACAACAGGTTCATACCACCGGTCCGAGCAACATCGAATCCCTCTCTAGTAGTCCTACGAGTTCGCACACGGAGTACATGCCCGCGACTAGCTCGGCTACGCCCACCGTAGTTACACCTCGACAACTTGCGGTACCGCCAACTCAATCTACTCAAGATGTAGAAGATGATGATTCTACATTGCAGGTAGGTTTAGACACCAGCCCGTTGGCGCAGTTCAGTTGAAGCTGGACTGTGGTACTAAGGGTTCCTGGTTCGAATTCGAGTTTGGGGATGGATATTTGTAAATGTATAGTGGGATGGGTTGGTAGAGGAGCCTCGGCTGAAACCCCGCCCACTCAAAAATAAAGGCAAATAAATAAAAATTAAAAAAACATGTTGGTGATACAGGGTTGCCATGTTTACGAAAAATAAAACTATTTGGTCCCTCACACTTTGCATGTAGGGGGGTACCTATTGAAACTAAGGGAGCAGTCTCAAATTTATTAGTATGTCCTAGAGTATGTCATTGACAATGCATGAAGAGAAGTTGTACTGCATACCACTCCTAGATGGCTCTTTGTCATTTCCTCCGAAGCAAGAGTTTAAATTTAAAATCTGGCACCTTATTTGGGGGGGGGGGGATTCTTTGCTGACATTTAGAAACACATGTGCATTGCAGCCCGTACTTCAGCAGCAAGCCGTGGCATTGGTGTTACCAAGAGTTGAGCAACCAAGCAACGGGCCCGCGCAGGAATTGGGCACGAGCAGTAGCAGCTCAAACACGGTAACAACAACTCAAGCGGGACTGAAACGGCCTAGAGATGTAGACGCCGAGGCGTGTCAAATTGACGATCAGAGTAAACAACAGCAAAGCAAGCGAACGCGCATTCAGCAAGGGTCGACTGAAACCAGTCAACATCACGGTACCGTTACTGATAGCGGTTTAGAAGTTGAGTATCAAGTTCCCACAAGTAGCCAAAGAGATCACGAGGAAGACCACGATGCTGTGATTGTAGTCGATGAGAGCGAGGATGATGTGGATGATCCTGATGAGGGTGAAGGTGACGACAATGTCGGAGACGATCCCGATACTGAGGGTTACGATATGGAATCGTATCCAGTAAGGGGATTTACACTGACTAAGAGCGCATGTTTAATATGAAATTTCAGGAACAGGAGCTCAGTTATGACGATGCAGATTGTCAGGATATGGAAGAAGTGGAGGGAGGAAATGAGGTCGAAGTGGTGGAAGGTTCTAGTGAAGTTCCGAATCAGAGTGAACGTTCTATACAAGAGAACAGTTCTCAAGAGGAATCCCTGGAGCAGCCACAATCTGAAACCATTAGTAGTGGAACAGATGGTATACTGTTTAGATTCATATAAAAGTCATAATGGTAACATTGTAGGTCTGTCCAACGTTACTGTATCACAGGCATCTCCTTCAGTTGCAGTCACCATGCCCTCGTTTTCTCGAACTAGATCAGTTGCTCCATTGACAAGACAACAGCCACAATCCCATTTGTTACTGCAACATGGGATGGATGAAGGGGGAGATGACGGTAAGTACATAAACCTACAACTCAAACGTACAGCCCAAAAAGGTTTTTTATTTGACTGTAACAACACTTTTATATAAAAACGCTGGCTATTTAAAAAATTTAATAGGGTCACCAGTTTTCCAAGATGGCGGCATATATTGACAGTCAATGAAATTTGGTATGAATGCGTCATAGTAGTAGTATATGAAAACGGTGGCCGTTTTCCAAGATGGCGGCACAGATTATGTAAATATTAACTATTATTAGAGATAAAAACGGCGGCCATTTTGAATTTTTTTATTTGGAAGTTTATAGCCATAGTACAATTGCCCCCTTCCGTACATAACCAAGAGACAACAACATCTTTATTGGTACACCCGTTTCGTTGGGAAAACATCCAAACGCATTCTTTCGTAGACCAAGATGCCCGAGAAGTCTCTTTGAAGATGCATTTATTTTTTCACAGATATCGCCAGGTATTTTCCAGAATTTTCGTCGCGATATATACCGGATGGGGCAATAAAACGACACGTGTTTTGGGATTCAGCAACATTTTTAAGCCATATATTGCAACAAATCTTAAGAGCATAAATGAAAATTAGGATACAAGCTGAATCTGGGGATTTATTATCCACATCTGGTAAACTTTGTATGCAAAATCGTGTCAATTTTCAAGAGTACTTATTGTTTTGTTTTTACTGATTTACGAAAGCGAAAAACACCAAAAAGATTTCTTTAAACATACTTTTTATTTGGATTTTCCACTTTGGCCCGTGGCGCATATGAAAAATTTTATTTTGGCCTCTTGAAAAAAAAAAGGTTGCCATGCCTGATTTATAACATGTAAATTTATCACATACAAGCGCGAACTTCACTATTAATCACGCCGACATCGATAATGGAACTGCGTTAAATACGCTTCAATTTACTTATACAGGGTGTTTTTTTGGGAGCTTAGGTTAAAAGTTTCTGGGAAAGTAAAATAGGTAGGTTTTTGAAAATTTGTACTTAGGAGTTACTCTGAAGGCCGAATCGATGTAAAATATTTTCAAAATGGCCGCACTTCCGGAAACACCGGAAGTAGATAGTAACTTCGTTATTTTAAATGACAACCCCTATTTTTTATTGCATTTTTGGATTCTACGTGAAATTTCAGTTCTTTTGATACCCATATGTCGATATCTACCATTTATGGTTTTTAAGTTATGTTGACTTTATGAAAAAAAATGGCGGATGCAGATGGTACCTTTCTAATTGATTACTTGAAAACGGTTATAGTCATGGCAATCCATTTTTATCAGTGCATAGAGAATGAATAGGGCTTTCTTTTAGTGCACTTAAAAAAAACTAAGTTGCGTACAACCGCACCTATGGAGATCCAAATTTAAGAAATTTCAAAGTCCAAAAACTCAGTTTTTTTTAATGGAATGACCATGTTCTTCCTATTGCATGAGATAGAGAATCGAAATTGGAATATTTTGATACTACATGTTCCTATAGCTATCTTCAACATTTTCTGATTTATTCCCATTTCATTGCATTGATGCCATTTTTTGCATTTTCATTTTAGTAGTTGGCCATGATTTTATAACAATCGAATTTTAAACAAATCAAGAAAAGGATTCTTTAATATCATTGATTCTAGTCTAAATAATTCATTAATAAATAAGTCATTTATTAAGGACGGAAAATTTTTGAGAAATCTAGACAGAGTCGTTCAACTGAATTTCTTAAACAACGTATAAGTCTAAAAATTCAGAGAGGTAATGCGATATCTGTTCAATTCCATACAAAAAATGTTTCAACGAAGTTTTTTATATTTTACATTGAATTTATTTTGTTAATCTTGCATTTGCAATTCAATTCATTTTCTTAAATATTCTCTTGTAGAGCTTTGTATCACTTGTGCTTCAACGGTTTGTAGTGCATTTGGGGATACAACATTTCCAAAATTCATACAATTAGGATTAGTGTCACTAGAATTGTTTAAAATTCAATTGTTATAAAATCATAGCCGACTACTAAAAAGAAAATTCGAAAAAAATAGTGTCAATTCAATAAAATGGGAATAAGTCAGAAACTGTTAAAGATAGCTATAGGAACATGTATTGTCAAAATATGCCCATTTCGGTTCTTTATCTCATGCAATATTAAGAAAATGGTGATTCCATTTAAAAAAACTGAGTTTTTAGTCTTTGAAGTTTCATAAATTTGGATCTCCATAGGGGCGGTCTTACGCAACTTAACTTTTTTTGAAGTACACTAAAAGAAAGCTGTATTCATTCTATATGCACTGATAAAAATAGGTTGCCATGACTACAACCATTTTCAAGTAATCAATTATCAAGGTACCATCTGCATCCGCCATTTTTTTTCTTAAAGTCAAAATAACTTAAAAACCATAAATGGCAGATATCGACATATGGGTATCCAAAGAACTGAAATTTCACGTAGAATCCAAAAACCTAATAAAAAATTGGGGTTGCTATTTAAAATAACGAAGCTACTATCTACTTCCGGTGTTTCCGGAAGTGCGGCAATTTTGAAAATATTTTACATCGATTCGGCCTTCAGCGTAACTCCTAAGTACACATTTTCAAAAACCTACCTATTTTACTTTCCCAGAAACGTTTAACTAAAGCTCCCAAAAAAAACACCCTGT